GCAATATATAAAATCATTAAATCTAATATTATAATAAAATATTGTATTATAATTTATAATGAAAATGATGTTATCACATTTTGATAGCTGCAAAAAAGGGGCTAAATGTAGGCAATATTATATACGGACACAAACAATTTTTTCCTGCGAAGATCCATTCGTGAAAATTTCATGGCTATCACATAGATATCTCATAATATGTTTAACATACCATTTACGTATTTTATTAAAAGTGTCCCTAACCTAACCTGTCCATACAATACGGTGCGCTTAGTAGTGTGTGCCTGTCTTCTTAGTGCAGTACGTATTATTTCGTTAAAATGGATTTGAATAAAATACGAAGTGAATTTAATAAAGTGATTAAAAAATAATAATATATAATTTTTTATTAATTATTGATTATTGATTATTTATTAGTGTAATAGCAGGGTAATTAATAATTGTGACAGATTAAATTAAAATATCTAAGAAAAATATATATGGAATCTTTGCCTGATATCGTTAGGAGATGATAACATGAACTAGGCAATGATATCATTTCCTTCAGCTATTAGGAATTGTCATCATTTCCTAGGAACCGTCATAATTTCCTAAATGTCAACATTTCCGGTAACATAAACACTAAAAACATATTATGTTAATTAAAATTTTATATAGGTTTAAAATACAACTACGTAAATAATTCTTGAGCCTCAATTACCCCCTTCCCCCTTGGTGAGTGATTAACCTCGTCACTTAGTAGAATAAAAGTTTATGGTATTAAAAATTTTATAGGTATTCGAACTTCGAAGTAGGTTTAAGTAAAAAAATTTTATTTATTTATCATTTTATATTAGACATGTAAGTTTGACAAAACCTTACATTATGTATACACATTTACCAACAGTATAAACTTTTTAAGTAGATACCTATCCATTTATTGTATATATATTTATATATACGCGTATACTAGATATATGCATATTGCATATATTGTATATGTTACCGGAAATGTTGATAATTCCCAATAGCGGAAGGAAATTATATCATTGCCTAGTATATATGCTATCATTTTCCAACGATATCAGGTCATAGCCAAATTGTTTTTTTAGATATTTTAATTTAATCTGTCTAATTTAAATATTAATTTTATGAAACAATTATTGATTATCCTTCTATTGCCCTAATAAGTAACCAAT